TTTTGATTTTTTTTCCCCCCCCCCCCCCTCAAATTCTGCTTAGAATGAAATATTTATTTTCTTCAGTATTTAGTATTAGAAATTAGAGTGCCATTTCCCCCAAATTAGGCTTACTTTTCCAATATAAATTAGTTTATTTTTCTCGTTCTGTTGTACAAGTACATAGTGATTACTTATGCAATTTTGACCTTCTCAGCATTGAAACGTAATCAGAGGAGGTGGTGGGGTATTGCACTCTTGTTATTATATGTCCTCTCCTCTTTATTTTTTTTATTTTTTATTTTTTATTTGTGCAGGATCAACATTTTTTAGGTTTTTAATGTTTGTAAACTTTGTTTTCTGCTAATGTAATAGGATGACCATGAGGGTACCAGAACAGTAGATGATGATAATTTTATAGATGATAGTGGTGTACATCCAGCTGACCGGTATGGAAGTGATGATGAACCACGTTCTCCCCGCTATGCTCCTGAGGTCAGTATTTTTTTTTTCTTTGGACAACATAATGTTATGAATTAAATGTTTTACTGTTTCATGGTTGTTAGTTAACTGACGAACTGTGTATTTAATATGTAGAACTGCATAATTGAAGAACTATATGAACTTGTTAAAACTTGAGCTCCTTCTTTGCCTGAAAATTTGCATTTTTTATTTCTTTTGAAATAGTCAAATAATAGCTATATCTGAATATGCTTAGATATTAATTAATGGCCTAGATGTTTTTTCAATCACCTACTTTTGGATCTGGATTCTAATAGGCGGAGGAAGGTGAGGAAGATGATGAAATTAATGATCTCTTCAAGATGGGTAAGAAGAAGAAGAAGAATGAGAAAAGTCCTGCGGAAATAGCATTGCTTGTGGAGAACGTCATGGCCGAGCTTGAGGTCACTGCCGAAGAGGATGCAGATCTTAACAGGCAGGGGAAACCTGCTGTCAATAAACTGAAGAAGCTACCACTTCTTACTGATGTTCTTTCGAAGTAAGTAGTAATGCAGTCTTCTATCTTTTCTTTTATATGTTTATCATATAAATTTTGGTCATTTTTCATAGAAAGCAGCTTCAACAAGAATTCTTGGATCATGGAGTGCTAACCCTTCTAAAGAATTGGCTTGAACCTCTGCCCGATGGAAGTTTGCCGAATATAAATATCCGGGAGGCAATCTTGAAGATTTTGACTGATGTAAATAGGTTTTCTATTCTTGTAACATCCTATGATATAGTGGTCATTCAAAATATTCTTATAATGCCCAATACTGTATTTCTTTTCCTTAGTTTCCAATAGATCTAGAACAATATGATAGAAGAGAGCAGCTGAAGAAGAGTGGCCTTGGGAAGGTTAGTGTGAGGTTTACTTTTAGCGATTTTCTTGACTCCCGATCTTTCTTTTTTTCCCCCTTTTTACCAGTCAGAAACAAGTTTGGTTATGATGTACATTTTGTAGGTTATTATGTTTCTATCAAAATCTGATGAGGAAACCACATCCAACCGGAAACTTGCAAAAGATTTAGTAGATCAATGGGTAAGTTGCCCTTTTCCTTCCCCTCTGCAGTTTTATCGTGATACTTCCTAGAAGGTCCTATTCCCTGTTTATCATGAAAGTAGAGAGTTGCAAGATGAAGAGTACAAGTATGCTATTGTGGGGTCATTTTATGTATAGTTGGGAATTATTCCTTATTGTTTCCCTATACACTGGGATAGAGGTTGTTTCGAGCAATGCCTGTCACTTCCAATTTAATTATATGACCATGGATTGTTTTTATTTCAAAGAGTTCTCAATGTTTTCCGGCTTGGGATTGTGCTCCCTAGGGAAGGAAGACTAATATTAGTTGGGCTGGGTCCTGTTGTTGATTTGTCTTGTTCGTTGAATGTCCAACCTTTTAAAGTATGGGACAAAATTGGCATTTCCTGACATTTGAAGTTAATGATTGCAGAGTCGACCCATATTTAATAAAAGTACTAGATTTGAGGACATGAGAAATGTGGAAGATGAGAGGGTGCCCTATAGAAGACCCATGGCGAAAAAGTACTTTTCCTTTTATCTTTAATTTTTCTTTTCTCCATCTACTATTTCTTCTGTTGTCTTTTAAAATGCTAATGAAACCTTGCCTGTAAAACGTTCTTGAAGGTCGGGAAACAAAGCTGCTGGAATGGAATCTCGAGATGGAGATCTTGACTTGGATGAATTCTCACAGTAAGATTTGATCTCATTTATTACGTAGTAGTGGACCTAGTGCATTCAATTCCTAAATCTTAATCTAAATTTATTTTTGTCCTCTTTTTTCTGCATTGTCTACATTTAAGTTCTTTATTTGTGCCATCGATGCAGGGGACGTAAGTCTGGTCAGTCGTCCTCAAGGCAGCATGCTTCACGACCTGAAGCAACACCATTGGATTTTATTGTCCGTCCCCAATCTAAGATAGATCCAGATGAAATCAGAGCTCGTGCTAAGCAAGCCGTGCAAGATCAACGTCGTATCAAGGTTAGTTTTCTTCATTATCATATGAAGCTAAATGAATAGAAAATAATCCTAACCTCAAGGTTTAGGCATTTAGTTTGCTGAACCCCGGGATTAGAAGTACAGGACACATTGTGAGAAAAACTATGGTGACCTATTGTGTACTGGATGTTTAATGTTTAGGATCACACGTTATTCCAGAAGCTAGGAACCTTCCTTTATTATAGGTTAGGAGATTTCTTGTATAAAAAATAAGGGTATATTTGGGATGCCAAAAGCACTTTCAACCTAAAATCATTGTGTTTGGAGGCGATTTATTATTTATGGTTAGAAGTTATTTCAAATATTTCGTGATAGAAGTGCTTTTTTTGAGAAAGCGCTAGCAGTGAATTAGTAGCGAACCACTCAGGGTTGTCCATCTAGTGGTCAATAAGGGCTATGTAAATTATAAATGGCTTAGAGGGAATGAGCAAGCTATAGTGACCACTTATGGAGTTAGGTAGTTGTTTCGTGAAAATAGTCATAGGAAAGCATTTAAAATATTTGTTTGGGGTATAGAATCAAATATTGAAGCGTTCTTAATGAAAACACTTAATAAAATGACTTCTTTTAAAAGCATTACATACACGTTGAATGTCACTTTTGTTGAATTTGAAAGAAAAAGAAGGCATCTTTGCAAATATCTGAAGGGAATATGTGACTCTCGCTACTTGAGAAGGGGAATAAGATGTGGCTTTTTTACATGTTGGTCATTTTGTCAGCGACACATTCATTTATTGTCTCCACGGACTTGTTTGTTGTATACTCCATTCTAAAATCAAAGCTTGATTATCCATGGCAGATGAACAAAAAGTTGCAGCAGTTGAAGGCTCCAAAGAAGAAGCAGCTTCAAGCAACAAAACTTAGCGTCGAGGGTCGCGGTATGCTCAAGTACTTATGACGTGTTATCTAACTTGCTATCGAAAGAACTCGAAGTCCGAGTCTGCCATCCGGATCGTGGCCAGTAAGTCCAACAAATGGCTTAATAATGAAGGATGCAGACGCAGAAAAAACAGCTGCAGTTCGTTCATCTACCAAAAATCTTCCATCAAACTCACCAAGAGATCTTAGTTATTTCTTTCTTTTGCCGTTGAAGTGCTTAAGTTTTCTGTGTACAAAATCACCATCGTATGGTGGAGCCAATTGGGATTTTTGAGAACGCCATTTTTTTTTTATTGAATCTGCCAATGTGCAAAAACCTTTGTTAAGTTTTGTTATGCTTTTAGTTTCCAATAGGCAAAACCAATAAACTCACGATTTGTTCAATCAGTATCTTAAGCTTAAGAAAATTATTTTAATTTTTTAAAATAAAAATTTGGCATAAACCTTTAAATATTTATTGTTTTAATGATATCCAAATTCTTTATATCAATTTTTATTATTTTAGCAGTTAATATTATACTTTTTAAATTGAAATTAAAAAATTAATTTTGGGTTGAATAGTTTGGTGGTAATAATTCTTATAGTGATTTAATTTGTGCATTTTATAATATTGAAGGGTGTAAATGGTAAATTTCATTAGTTTATGGGGTCTATTTTGCAATTTCTCACTAGTTTTTTTCTTCTTTTTTTATTTTTTATTTTTTATTTTTTATAATTATAATAATAATTATTTTTTATTTTAAACTTGTATAAAGAAATTTTGAGGTTAAAAAATGAAAATGAATAGTTTGCTGACAGTTTGGATATGAAAATAAAATGTTTAAAATTAGAGGATCAAAGAAAACAGTTGAGATGGAAATGCGGTTTAAACCGACAAAATAGAAATTTCGATCAAATTTACAGGTTAGTATAAATCTCTCGTTGTCTGTTCGCGGTATTCCTCTCCGGCTCCCCGGTAACCCCAAAGCAGCTGCAAGCTACTATTGAGTTCATCTTCTTCCGCCACCGCCGCCTGGTTGTTTAGGGCTTCGACTAAATCACAGTGCCGCCGGTGGACTACAACTAGAATCTGACAACCATTAGTTTCGCCTGCCAAAGGTTGAACGTTTCATTGCGGTACTGTTTCATCTGCTTTTTTCTTCTTGGTCTAATTTTATGTTCTCTGGTGACTATGTTTTCTCCCTCAGATTTCTAAGACATATATGGAAAATTTGGATGTGTGAGGTTTGTCGCCAGGGAAAATAATCTTTTACGTTCTGCCATTGTTAAATTACGGTGGGGCGGTTAGTCGAGACGGTTTTTCTTTGGTGTATTCGTGTTTAATTCATTCTTATCGCACTTCTCTCATTAAATGGAATTGTTTGTGTATTGTTTTCTTGGGGTCAAATTTTGGTGGTGATGAACAGCTAGTTTGTTCTTCTCTCTAGGTGCTGCTATTCTGTAACATACTCGAGTAATGTTTATTTGTTTTTTTATGTATAAATTTCCTACTTAGTCATTAAGTAGATGACTCTTGACAAATTATTGATTTATATTTCGATCATTTTGCTGTATGCGGATTTTCATAGGAGTAGATACTTCCCAGTGAACTTAATATTTTATCCGATTATATTTAGTTAATAGAATCAGATTCAAATTTGGAAGATGTTATAATCTCTATATTTTTCTTCCTTACTGCCATCGATTGGTTCAATGAATTTTGTTTTTAATGTTTGGTTGATGTACTAGCCAGGCAAGAAGATGGTTTCTGGGTTGATAAATGCAAATCCAGTTGTATACCAAAAGAAAGAGCGGCGGGCTCGAAACACTCCATGTGATAGTGACGAATATGCAGTGGAACCCATTGATCAGTTGGAAATTTTATACCCTCGATACCCTCGATACCCTCAATCAAGAGATTAGAGGTTTGAATCTCCACCCAAAAAGTGGAAAAAAAGAAAAGCTTCTTTATTGAAATGATAGCCTCCAGTCAGTCGAGGCTCAAGGAATCCTGTGCTTTTCTATATTGCTTTATACCTTAAGGATAAGTAATTGTGACTTTTTTATTAATGAAATTGTGGTTTCTTATCCACTTTGTGTAAACTGTATCTGAAGAGGCATTTTTATATAAGTTTTGTGGAATTCAAAGGGATTATGAATCTGATTTGTGCATGTTAACACTATATAATTTTCCTTAACATTCTTAAATCATATTAGAGATATAAAAGATCCTGAGCACCCTTACTCTTTCGAAGAGCTTAAAGTAATAACAGAAGATGCAATTGAAGTAGATGATAAGCTTAGCTATGTGAGGTAACCTAATCTTTAGTATTCCTGCTGTCCTAACCTCATTCATCAATCATAATTGTAACGTTTGTTTATTCTGGTGGTTGAGTCCCTTTTGTAAATGGTTATATTTACTCCAACAGTTGAACATTGTAGCATGGCAACAATTATTGGTTTGTGCTTAAGAGTTAAGCTTATGAGGAGCCTACCTTCTCGGTACAAGGTATGAATCTTGAATCTTGTTCCTTATTATTGGCTAAGCATTCATCTCACCAATGCATGGTTGGGTCGATTCGTACTCATATTTCAGCATGTAATTATAGAATCTAATCTAAGTATGCTATATCAGGTTATAAAATGTCTCTTATAAATTGGAGAAAAATGACTCTTCTTAGGAATACGTGGAAATAAAGAAATCAAAGAATATTCGTAGAAAAGACAGACTTGTACGAAACTTTTCGATAATTTTGTTTACCAAGCTATATCTAAGCTATATCTAATATGGTGGTGATTTTAGAAACCTAAATTAGGAAAATTTCCCCCTTGTTCTAAACTTCAAAATAATTTCATTTTACATTTGCAAATTCATTTTTTATTGGTTAAAACCCATTCCCCATTGTTTTAGGTTGACATAAGAGTAGCTCCTGGATCGCATGCGACTGAAGCAGCAGGTATGTCGGTGACTTTTTCCTGTTAACTGTACATGCTCTCATGTTTTAAATTCTACCTCGCTCCTACACATTAGCAGTCACCAAGCGACCATAAATCTACTTTTTCTACTAATTTCTATTCAACATCTAGTTTTACATTATGAAAAGCATCAATGATGAGTTGCCTTTTGGAAAAAAATTATGAATATTTTGCTCGTAGCTATAATTTATAATTACCTACGCGTCGGTTCCTTAAGTCGCAGTCTTTTCATTTGCAGTAAACAAACAACTTAATGGCAAAGAACGAGGTGCAGCAGCACTGGAAAATCCAAATCTAGTAGACATGGTTGATGAATGCTTGGCTCCATCTCATGGTTGATCGAGTTGGGAGTGCCAAATGGAGTTAGATCAATACTCATCTGAAATCCAATCACATGGATTTTCTTTTTTTGATCGAGGAAGAGCAGAAATGGTCGTGTAAGTGTGTTTTTTGTGGTTAAGTATTTATGTCTTTAAACTTGATGTTCGTATATGATTGATCGATTCCAGACTCTGTTTGTTCTAGATTCGTTGTTTTTATTTTGGTTTTGATCTCGAGAAAATATATCTATGGAACGACTGTTTGATCTGTAGTCCTACTTCAGCAGCTGATCACTTAAAATGTTCTTGGTGCAGGCCCCACATCTTTTTTTCCTTCGCAAAAAAAAAAAAAAAAAAAAAAAAAAAAAAAAGGATTTTGTGAGCTTTGCTTCACGGGTGGTTCAGGAACATGCATATACTTCTCCAAAAAGATGTTGAGCATAAGCTTGACTTGAATTTTTTTGTCTAAGATATGTAGAGTAAAATTTCCAAACAAAGATATAGAGTAAAAGATCGGGTGTGTATATCTCCATCCGTTTAGCTATGATCGGGTCAATTTGGTCGTCAATCTCATCAAGTACCATATCAACGATTGAGATTGTTTGATTTCTATGGGAGTTATTGTTAGAATGAAAAAAATAAAAATAAAATAAACTTGTAACTTCTTCCACATGTGCCCTCTAGAAACCACAAAGCTGTTAAAGTAATAAATGAAGATTGCAAAAAAGGGGATAAATGCCATTATGTAAAACCATGAGTGGAACGAAGGCCAAAATAATTACCAACATGACTTGAAAACAAAGCAATCCCTAGAAACCCTTTATTTACAAATGAAGGCCTCCATAAATATCACCAATATCCCACAAAACACAAATCCAAAAAGAACCAATGGCTAGAATCTCATTCATTTTCGTCTTCATATTGGCCTTCCTCTCAGTTGCAGCAGCCATGGCAGAGCCCAAAGAAAAAGATGGTGCAGTGACTAACTTCCCCGACCAGCAGTTCTTATGGGGACGGAAGGAGAGAGTGAATCATGGAAGCTTTAGAAGCCCCAAGAAACATCTTCTCAATCCTCACCATTTTCAGCCATTTGATCCCTTTCAAGACCCTATTGATCTCTGAGAACTTTTCTAATGGTCTTTTGATGCTTTTTCTTTCTTTCTTTCTTTCAAGGGTTTTTTAGTGGTGAATTGTTAGGTAATTGTTTGGGAAAGTTCATATGTTTATATTGTTTGTATTTATTTTGGTGTACTTTGATTTGTACCATAAGGTTGAGTTTTCCTTCTAATTTATGTATGAGAACTTTGTTTGTGGGTTCATGTTGAATACAGGTGGGGTACTACATATATAGATATATTTTTGGAACCTCATTTACCAATACAATAGCGACACCTACAATATCAAAATTTATAATTCAACAGGAAAATGCATGTTTTCCTATAACAAATTAGAATATTAATTATATAAATATGTGGAGAATTTTGCTAAGCTAACCAAATCAGTCTTCATCGTCAGAATCATTGAATGTAATCTTCGTGGACTTGGGGGCATCTGCTGTAATTTCCTTGAAGTGTGCTCCATAGAGCTTGGATTCCTGCAATGAAATCCATAACATCGCCATTTTTAATGTTTTGAGCATCCAAAATATTGAATGAAAGGTTCTACCAAGCTTAATGTTCGCTACTACGTCAAGAATTTACTTCTTTTTTTTCTTCTACCAACCAAATATCAAAATCACTAACAAAAAGTTGATTCCAAAGACAAAACAGCTCGTAATGGAGGCTGGTTATCAGTGTTTACACAAGAATATTTTATGAAGAAGATGAAATAAACAAGAATCTTTTACCTTTTTCTTCACGTGAGTACCAAATTTCAAAAGCGCATCTGGTACTACTTGCTTGGCTTCACGGAGAACATTCACCAGCTCCCCAGCAAGTCCCTAAAAAATGGCAGCAAAGGTTAAGTGAATTGAACAAGCCAAATAATTTTTTTGTAAAAAAAAAAACGGGAGAAATATATAGGATCCTAAATAACCTTGCTTTGTTGCATGA